GAATAACGAAAATGAGTGACAATAAGAAGGAACGGAAGTGAGGAGTGAGAAGGAGTGAGAAGAAGGACTGAGATGAAGGAGTGACAAGGAGGAGTGACAAGAAGGAGTGAGAAGAAGGAGTGAGAAGAAGGAGTGAGAAGGAATGAGAAGAAGGAATGAGAAGGAGTGAGAAGAAGGAATGAGAAGAAGGAGTGAGAAGAAGGAGTGAGAAGAGGTAAGGCGAGGAGTGAGCAGAGAGAAGAATGAGTGAGAAGAAGGAATGAGAAGGATTGAGAAGAAGGAATGAGAAGGAGTGAGAAGAAGGAATGAGAAGAAGGAGTGAGAAGGAGTGATAAGAAGGAGTGAGAAGGAATGAGAAGAAGGAATGAGAAGGAGTGAGAAGAAGGAATGAGAAGAAGGAGTGAGAAGGAGTGATAAGAAGAAGGAGTGAGAAGGAATGAGAAGGAGTGAGAAGAAGAAGGAATGAGAAGAAGGAGTGAGAAGGAGTGAAAAGAGGTAAGGTGAGGAGTGAGCAGAGAGAAGGAGTGAGAAGAAGGAGTGAGAAGAAGGAGGGGGATGAGGAGTGAGCAGAAGGAGGGGGAGGAGGAGTGAAAAGAAGGAGGGGGATGTGGAGTGAGCAGAAGGAGGGGGAGGAGGGGGAGGAGGAGTGACAAGAAGGAGTGAGAAGAAGGAGTGAGAAGAAGGAGTGAGAAGGAATGAGAAGAAGGAGGGGGAGGAGGAGTGAGAAGAAGGAGGGGGATGAGGAGTGAGCAGAAGGAGGGGGATGAGGAGTGAGCAGAAGGAGGGGGGGGATGAGGAGTGAGCAGAAGGAGGGGGAGGAGGAGTGAGCAGAAGGAGGGGGATGAGGAGTGAGAAGAAGGAGGGGATGAGGAGTGAGCAGAAGGAGGGGGAGGAGGAGTGAGAAGAAGGAGGGAGGAGGAGTGAGAAGAAGGAGGGGAGGAGGAGTGAGAAGAAGGAAGGGGATGTGGAGTGAGCAGAAGGAGGGGGAGGAGGGGGAGGAGGAGTGACAAGAAGGAGTGAGAAGGAATGAGAAGAAGGAGGGGGAGGAGGAGTGAGAAGAAGGAGGGGGAGGAGGAGTGAGAAGAAGGAGGGGGAGGAGGAGTGAGAAGGAGGAGGGGGAGGAGGAGTGAGTAATAAAAAAAAAGAATAAGAAGGAAGACAGGGAGTGAGCAGGGTGAGAATAAGTGAGAACGAGGAGGAGGACAGGGAGTGGGAAGAAGGGCAATGAAGAGGAGGAGTGAGCAGAGTGACAAGAAGGAGGCGGAGTGAGAAGGAGAATAACAAAAACGAGTGACAATAAGAAGGAACAGAAGTGAGGAGTGAGAAGAAGGACTGAGATGAAGGAGTGACAAGGAGGAGTGACAAGAAGGAGTGAGAAGAAGGAATGAGAAGAAGGAGTGAGAAGGAATGAGAAGAAGGAATGAGGAGGAGTGAGCAGAAGGAGGGGGAGGAGGAGTGAGAAGAAGGAGGGGGATGAGGAGTGAGAAGAAGGAGGGGGATGAGGAGTGAGCAGAAGGAGGGATGAGGAGTGAGAAGAAGGAGGGGGATGAGGAGTGAGAAGAAGGAGGGGATGAGGAGTGAGCAGAAGGAGGGGGATGAGGAGTGAGCAGAAGGAGGGATGAGGAGTGAGAAGAAGGAGGGGGAGGAGGAGTGAGCAGAAGGAGGGGGAGGAGGAGTGAGAAGAAGGAGGGGAGGAGGAGTGAGCAGAAGGAGGGGAGGAGGGGGAGGGAGGGGGAGGAGGAGTGAGAAGAAGGAGGGGGATGAGGAGTGAGCAGAAGGAGGGGGAGGAGGAGTGAGAAGAAGGAAGAGGGATGAGGAGTGAGCAGAAGGAGGGGGAGGAGGAGTGAGAAGAAGGAGGGGGATGAGGAGTGAGTAATAAAAAAAAAGAATAAGAAGGAAGACAGGGAGTGAGCAGGGTGAGAATAAGTGAGAACGAGGAGGAGGACAGGGAGTGGGAAGAAGGGCAATGAAGAGGAGGAGTGAGCAGAGTGACAAGAAGGAGGCGGAGTGAGAAGGAGAACAACGAAAATGAGTGACAATAAGAAGGAACGGAAGTGAGGAGTGATAAGGAGTGAGAAGAAGGACTGAGATGAAGGAGTGACAAGGAGGAGTGACAAGAAGGAGTGAGAAGAAGGAGTGAGAAGGAATGAGAAGAAGGAATGAGAAGGAGTGAGAAGAAGGAATGAGAAGAAGGAGTGAGAAGAAGGAGTGAGAAGAGGTAAGGCGAGGAGTGAGCAGAGAGAAGAATGAGTGAGAAGAAGGAATGAGAAGGATTGAGAAGGAATGAGAAGGAGTGAGAAGAAGGAATGAGAAGAAGGAGTGAGAAGGAGTGATAAGAAGGAGTGAGAAGGAATGAGAAGAAGGAATGAGAAGGAGTGAGAAGAAGGAATGAGAAGAAGGAGTGAGAAGGAGTGAGAAGAAGAAGGAGTGAGAAGGAATGAGAAGGAGTGAGAAGAAGAAGGAATGAGAAGAAGGAGTGAGAAGGAGTGAAAAGAGGTAAGGTGAGGAGTGAGCAGAGAGAAGGAGTGAGAAGAAGGAGTGAGAAGGATTGAGAAGAAGGAGTGACAAGGAGTGACAAGAAGAAGGAATGAGGAGAAGGAGTGAGAAGGAGTGAGAAGGAGTGAGAAGAAGGAGTGACAAGAAGGAGTGAGAAAAAGGAGTGAGAAGAAGGAGTGAGAAGGAGTGAGAAGAAGAAGGAGTGATAAGAAGGAAGGCGAGGAGTGAGCAGAGAGAAGAAGAAAGAGGAGTAGTGAGAAGGGGAAAAATGAAAGTGAGTAGGAGGAGTGAGCAGAGTGAGAAGGAGTGAGAAGAAGGAGTGAGAAGGAGCAAGAAGAAGGAGTGAGAAGGAGTGAGAAGAAGGAGTGAGAAGGAATGAGAAGAAGTAGTGAGAAGGAGTGCGAAGGAGTGAGAAGAAGAAGGAGTGATAAGAAGGAAGGCGAGGAGTGAGCAGAGAGAAGAAGAAAGAGGAGTAGTGAGAAGGGGAAAAACGAAAGTGAGTAGGAGGAGTGAGCAGAGTGAGAAGAAGAAGGAAACCGGTTGGTTCCTTACCTTGAGGGTGGCTTTGAGATCTGCGGAGAATCAGCAGTAGAAGAAGAAGAGCACAGGTGTTGATTGGTTAAACAGTTTATTTTGACTGTACCGTAAAAAGATGCACCTCATCAGTTTTACGTCAGCTTTGAGCCGTTTGTGGCATTACAGTCGCCCTGGTAACAGCTTAGGCTCATGTGAACTCTTAAACGTAAACACATATCAATCATATCAAGAGTCTCTAAGTCAGTAAAGTTTATTTATAAAGCCCCTTTCAAGAACTGATGTCACAAAGTATCAGATAACCAATAACAACACAGAGATCCATAAAGACAGTGAACGCACTACGAGACAGTGAACACATCACAGTCTGTATTTACCTTTGCTGCTCTTCACCGTCAGTTTGTCGGGTTCTGAAGAAGACAAAAAAACAAACAAACAGCTGATTCACAAATCTGATGGAGGAGCCAATCACACATCTGTAAACAGGAAGTACATTGTGTTGTCTGTTTGTGTTTACCTGACTGTCGTCTCCCATAGCGACCGTCTCGCTGAAACTCATCAGACTGAACGGAGGACGCTTTCTTCAGCCGCTCGGGGCTGTAACGATACCGCGGAGGGTCTACAGAAAAACAACAACATATAAACATCAATAGATAATGACCAGCAGCCTGAGTGGCGTCCCCCGTCTGTTCCTGCAGGGGGCGCTGGAGTCCCATCGATGGCGGTCTCCATGCTGGAAATGCTGTCTCAGTCTAACTTTCAGTCAACCTAACGACAGGCTGAGAGCTGGAGCTGAGGCGGGTTTTAAACCTCCTGACAAACCGTTACACCGCGCCCACCTGTCAATCAGGTCAGCTACACGCCTTATTGTGAATAACTCTTATCCTTCATCAAATCAAAACTGATGAGTCATCAAAACATTCACCCCCCGTACAGTGTGTGTCCATCCAGACATGAGCTAATCACACCTATTTGGTTTTTTGAACCAGGCTGTAAACATGTTCATCTCTGCTGTAAAAACAGGCTTTTTAGAATGGGTGTGTATGTGACTTCCTGTGCTTCTGCAGCCAGCCTCTAGTGGACACTCCAGGAACTGCAGGATGTTACACTTCAGCATCGGCTTCATGTTTCAACACCGGAAGATGCTGCTTGATTTCATCAACATTTCATCCTCTAGTTATAAAACAAATATGAACTCACATGTAGGATTCATTTCCAAGATGGCGTCTTTAGCCTGAAACAAACAACAAACAAACATTTATTACTTGAATACAGGAGAACTTACTGGTCATACTGATGTATGTACTGGTCGTACTGGTGTATGTACTGGTCGTACTGGTGTATGTACTGGTCATACTGGTGTATGTACTGGTCCTACTGGTGTATGTACTGGTCCTACTGGTGTATGTACTGTTTGTACTGATGTATGTACTGGTTGTACTGATGTATGTACTGGTGTATGTACTGGTCGTACTGATGTATGTACTGGTGTATGTACTGGTTGTACTGATGTATGTACTGGTGTATGTACTGGTCCTACTGATGTATGTACTGGTTGTACTGATGTATGTACTGGTTGTACTGATGTATGTACTGGTGTATGTACTGGTCATACTGGTGTACGTACTGGTCCTACTGGTGTATGTACTGGTCCTACTGGTGTATGTACTGGTCGTACTGGTGTATGTACTGGTCCTACTGGTGTATGTACTGTTTGTACTGATGTATGTACTGGTTGTACTGATGTATGTACTGGTGTATGTACTGGTCGTACTGATGTATGTACTGGTGTATGTACTGGTTGTACTGATGTATGTACTGGTGTATGTACTGGTCATACTGGTGTACGTACTGGTCCTACTGGTGTATGTACTGTTTGTACTGATGTATGTACTGGTTGTACTGATGTATGTACTGGTCGTACTGGTGTATGTACTGGTCATACTGGTGTATGTACTGGTCCTACTGGTGTATGTACTGTTTGTACTGATGTATGTACTGGTTGTACTGATGTATGTACTGGTGTATGTACTGGTCATACTGGTGTATGTACTGGTCCTACTGGTGTATGTACTGTTTGTACTGATGTATGTACTGGTTGTACTGATGTATGTACTGGTCGTACTGGTGTATGTACTGGTCATACTGGTGTATGTACTGGTCCTACTGGTGTATGTACTGGTCGTACTGGTGTATGTACTGGTCATACTGGTGTATGTACTGGTCCTACTGGTGTATGTACTGTTTGTACTGATGTATGTACTGGTTGTACTGATGTATGTACTGGTCATACTGGTGTATGTACTTGTCGTACTGATGTATGTACTGGTTGTACTGATGTATGTACTGGTGTATGTACTGGTCGTACTGGTGTATGTACTGGTCGTACTGATGTATGTACTTGTTGTACTGATGTATGTACTGGTCGTACTGGTGTATGTACTGGTATATGTACTGGTCGTACTGGTGTATGTACTGTTTATACTGATGTATGTACTGTTTATACTGATGTATGTACTTGTTGTACTGATGTATGTACTGGTCGTACTGGTGTATGTACTGGTATATGTACTGGTCGTACTGGTGTATGTACTGTTTATACTGGTGTATGTACTGTTTATACTGATGTATGTACTGGTTGTACTGATGTATGTACTGATGTATGTACTGGTCGTACTGGTGTATGTACTGTTTATACTGGTGTATGTACTGTTTATACTGATGTATGTACTGGTTGTACTGATGTATGTACTGATGTATGTACTGGTCGTACGGGTGTATGTACTGGTCGTACTGGTGTATGTACTGGTCGTACTGGTGTATGTACTGGTCGTACGGGTGTATGTACTGGTCGTACTGGTGTATGTACTGGTCGTACTGGTGTATGTACTGATTGTACTGATGTATGTACTGGTTGTACTGATGTATGTACTGGTTGTACTGATGTATGTACTGGTCGTACTGGTGTATGTACTGGTCGTACTGGTGTATGTACTGATTGTACTGATGTATGTACTGGTCGTACTGATGTATGTACTGGTGTATGTACTGATTTATGTATTGGTCGTACTGATGTTTGTACTGGTGTATGTACTGGTCGTACTGATGTAAGTACTGGTCGTACGGGTGTATGTACTGGTCGTACTGGTGTATGTACTGGTCGTACTGGTGTATGTACTGATTGTACTGATGTATGTACTGGTTGTACTGATGTATGTACTGGTTGTACTGATGTATGTACTGGTCGTACTGGTGTATGTACTGGTCGTACTGGTGTATGTACTGATTGTACTGATGTATGTACTGGTCGTACTGATGTATGTACTGGTGTATGTACTGATTTATGTATTGGTCGTACTGATGTTTGTACTGGTGTATGTACTGGTCGTACTGATGTAAGTACTGGTCGTACTGGTGTATGTACTGGTCATACTGGTGAATGTACTGGTCGTACTGGTGTATGTACTGATTGTACTGATGTATGTACTGGTTGTACTGGTGTATGTACTGGTTGTACTGGTCATACTGATGTATGTACTGGTTGTACTGATGTATATGGTCATACTGGTGTATGTACTGGTTATACTGATGTATGTTCTGGTCGTACTGATGTATGTACTGGTGGTACTGATGTATGTACTGGTCGTACTGATGTATGTACTGGTTGTACTGGTGTATGTACTGGTCATACTGGTGTATGTACTAGTTGTACTGATGTATATGGTCATACTGGTGTATGTACTGGTTGTACTGATGTATGTTCTGGTCGTACTGATGTATGTACTGGTGGTACTGATGTATGTACTGGTCGTACTGATGTATGTACTGGTTGTACTGATGTATATGGTCATACTGGTGTATGTACTGGTTGTACTGATGTATGTACTGGTTGTACTGATGTATATGGTCATACTGGTGTATGTACTGGTTGTACTGATGTATGTTCTGGTCGTACTGATGTATGTACTGGTTGTACTGATGTATATGGTCATACTGGTGTTCGTACTGGTCATACTGGTGTTCGTACTGGTCATACTGATGTATGTACTGGTCGTACTGATGTATGTACTGGTTGTACTGGTGCTTGTAGTGGTGTGTGTACTGGTGCTTGTCGTGGTGTGTACTGGTGTGTTTAAGACCTTCTGTGGGATGATGGCTTGGTGGTTTTCCAGAATGGTGCGTTTGATGTGATGAGCCCACAGCTTCCTTTCCTCCACCGTCTTCGCCTGAAACATTCAAACAAATGTTCACATGTTCTGTAGATAAACAGGGTGTGTATGTGTTTACAGTTTGGAGGTCCATGGAGGCGTTTGAGGAGAAGGTGGAGGTCTCACCTGCACGGTGTGAGGCTGTTTGGGATGTTTGTAATGAATCACGCTGAAGCTCAGGGTGTCTTTGGCGCTTTCAATCAGCATGAGAGTGGAGCACTGACACCACACAACGAGAACAACAAGTCAACAAGAAGATAAACAAAAAATAAACTATGAAAAACACAAAGAAACAAACCATCAAAAAGTGTTTTTACCCCGAGCTTGTGGCTACAGTTTGGGGTTGATGCAGACTCTGATTGTTAAATCGAGAGCTTGTCCTTAAAGATCAGATCCTCTAACCCTCCTGCAGACCTCACCATGACACAACAAAGTCCAGAGCCTTTAGCTTCTCCATGTGAATCCACACCTGGCACCTTGCCACTGCTGAGGAGCATTTTGTCTACCTCAGTGACCTCTGCCATGGATCTAGGTGAGGCTTTCTCTGCCTCCTCATTGGAGGACCTGTTGGTTGATTCGGGAATCACTCAAAGCTGCCATCCCACCACCTGATGACTTCTACAGTCCAGACCAGCAGTTCTTCTCTCCTACTGAAAATAGCCTGAGCTAATCCCTGCTTTCCCCTCCTGAGTCATCTACAGTCCTTCTTGGTAGCCTCCCAGATCTTTTCCCACAGTGATTTATTTGCTTCTACTACCACTGAAGTCACATCCCTCCTATCCTCCAGGTACCTGCCAACTGCTTAGAGCAAGGGTGTCCAAACTTTTTTTCTTGCGGGCCAAAATTGTCGTGTTAGAATCTCTCGCGGGCCACAGGTTTTTTTAGTTTTTTTTTTAAATATAGTTGAAAAAATAGTAAGACTTTGTAGATCAGAATCTAAAGAAACCCTTTAATAAAAGGAAATCAAATATTTAGATTTCTTCGTCCTACTTTATTTGTTTTTTTCTCAGAGCCTGTAACGTGGTTCATTTAGCTCAGGTCATTAAATGGTTAAACAACAGTCCGCTTGTTTGCAAAAACTTTGCATACGTTTTTTTTTCATAGTTTACAAAAAAAATGTGGAAAATAGTAAAATCTGTAGATTTAAAAAAACAACAACAACATACATGTTACTGAAGATTTTCTGTTTTAGGAATATTGTTCAGCCCTTGAAAACATGAAAAATAAAAATAAGATAACGTGCCGATCTTAATCAATAAAATCTTCTGATTCTTCATCTGAAGTCACGGGCCGCAAAAAATCCCCTCAAGGGCCGCAAATGGCCCTCGGGCCGCACTTTGGACACCACTGGCTTAGAGAGACCCCTTATCTGATAAAACCAAAATACCTCCTTCTTCAGTCTGACAGTTTCCTTCATATGTCCACCAACACATTTTGGCCTCCTGGCCACAGTTCCTAGTGGTCACTTCCACGAGGCAAACATTTGGATTTCATAGCACAAACCCCCCCTGGGATACATGAACAATTCTTCCAGAGTTTGGAGTTGAAGACCTTGTGGACAGGGCCCTCTGACAAATGTTACGAGTTCACCCCTTATGAATTTAGGTTTGCCAGTTCTGTGCAGTAGCCCCCCCCCCAACCATCTGATCTGAGATCATCTGACAGCTCCGCCCTCTTTTCACCAAGACCTACAGCCGCAGATCTGATGATACAACTACAAAGTAGATCAGCACCTGTGTGTCCAATCAGACTCAAAGCTGATCGTTTGCTCTTACTCACATTAGTTCCTTTTTTCTAAATCCTTGCTTGTGTTGTTCTTACTCTCTGATGTACGTACGATAAAAGAGTCTGCTGAGTGAATTGTAGAATTGTAGGTAGACTTATGAATCACCCTAAAACAAGTCCAATAACTGAACACTCAGATCAGACATTCTCCCAGTTAACCTCCTCCAGGTTTCTCCATCACGGCCCGCGTTGGCATTGAAGTAGAACTACAGAGTCTCTCATCAGAACACCTTTCAGGACTCTGCCCAGTGACTCAAAGAAGGCTGCACACTCAGAACCTCCACTAACCGAGACTAGACTACATTTATTTAAACTGAATCCACAGCTGCTGTCTAACAAACAGAACATTTTGTGTGTTATTGTCTCACAGAGATGTGTGTCTTGTAGACAAAGTGTTCTCCTCGGCGTTTGGTGATCAGCAGCATGTGGTCGAACAGGAAGAGCGTCCTCTCGTTTTTGGCTCGGTGGACTTTGAAGGTTCCCTCCAGGACCAGTTCTCCGTACGTGGTGAGGTCAGGACCTTTCCAGTTCAGCAGTAAAGACTGAACCTCCTGCAGGACAAAACACGACGCGAGCTTTCAGACGGGAGGAGGGTTTTTAATCACAGGTGTTTCTTTGTGTGCTCAGGTGTTGTCATGGTTACTGACCTGGAGCCTCACAGCGTGCTCGTGTTTCCTCTTCATGTCGTTGATGTACCAGGCGACACCCGTCATCGTGTAGATGGCGTCCTCCACCACCTCGTAACCCTCCTCCATCGGGTCAAAGTGCTTCGCTATCTCCTGTAAGAGAACGACATCATCATCAGGGGGCAGTGATGTCACTCAGGTCACATGAGCAGGGGGCAGTGATGTCACTCAGTGATGTCACATGAGCAGGGGGCAGTGATGTCACTCAGTGATGTCACTCAGGTCACATGAGCAGGGGGCAGTGATGTCACTCAGTGATGTCACATGAGCAGGGGGCAGTGATGTCACTCAGTGATGTCACTCAGTGATGTCACTCAGTGATGTCACTCAGGTGAGTCGTACCTGGAGCAGCAGGTGGTATTTGAGGATCCTCTGAACGGGTTTGAGCAGGTATGAACCCAGAGGCAGCGAGCGCTTCAGTAACGCCTGGCGCTCCCGGAAAAACTTGGCCAGAGATTTATTCCTCATGCACTCCGTCAGCGCCGCCACCGAACTACAACAGGAAGTGTGAGCAGGAAGACGGTTAAAGTAAGGTGTGACCACGAGTTAAAGAGTGACGTTGTGAACATGAGGTGAGACAGGAGGTCTTACTTTGGGTAGTTAGTGCAGTACTGAGTGTAGATCTCAAAGTACTCGCTCTGAAATGAGACAAATGAGAGCGCCGTCACTCCAACGCTGTAAACACGACTTCATCGTCTCTAAGACTAGAAATCATTAAACCGATCAAATGTTTCTCATCATCAAACAACAACATGAAAAAATGTCTGAAGAGTGAAATACCTTCATGACGAAGCAGCGAGCCACCGCCACCGGGTCGTTATCACACAGGTCCAGAGCCTGGAGCAGCTCGCTGTCAACAGGGAAACACTGTTACCATGACAACCAGAGTAACAAGGCAGGACACTCACACGCTCCACCTCGTCTACCTCAGGAGGAACGAGTCAAACATGGCGTCCAAAAACACACATTTTATCAATCAGCTGTTTGTCTCCACCTGTGTCACACACCACAAACACACACACACACACACACACACACACACACACACACACACACACACACACACACACACACACACACACACACACACACACACACAGACAACACACACACACACACACACACACACACACACACACACACACACACACACACACAGACACACACACACACACACACACACACACACACACACACACACACACACACACACAGACACACACACACACACACACACACACACACACACACACACACACACACACATACATACACACACACACACACACACACACACACACACACACACACACACACACACACTCACTTTCACACACTTAATGCTCCCCCAAGCCTAGCCACCCACCAACCAGCCAGTGTTACACAATCAGAAAAAATCTGAAGAGACACACATACATAACACACACACACACACACACACACACACACACACACACACACACACACACTCACTTTCACACACTTAATGCTCCCCCAAGCCTAGCCACCCACCAACCAGCCAGTGTTACACAATCAGAAAAAATCTGAAGAGAAAAAATAAATAAATATAAGAATAATAATAATAAAAAAAGAAAAAAGAAAGGAAAACCTCTGCATATATATATGCATACACACTATACAGGACTTACACACATAGTGTACGCAACATTAAGGCACAAGGTACAGAACAGTACATACATGTAGATACACGAGCGCAAGCAAGAGGAGAGCAGGTCCAGACAACTAAGTCCAACAGAGAAAGAAAATCAAAAGCAAGAGCAGGATGTTTGACAATGAGTATGTAGAGATGATTTAAAGATATGAAAAGAGGTGATAGATCTAAGTGAGCGAGGTAGGTTATTCCAGTCTGATGGAGCTTTAAATTTAAATGCACGGGGACCAATTTCTTTCCTGATTGTTTCAAGTACGGAGGAAAATTAAAATAGATACATTTAAAAGTAAAAAGCGACCAATGAAACTTGGGAGCCAGCCAATTCAAAGACTCATACATTAGGCAGTGATGGGTCCTATATGGACACCTCAGAACAAATCTACAGAGACTGTTGAATAAGATAGTGAGAGGTCGAAGATTTGTCTCTGAGGTGTTTCCATAGATAACATCAGCATAATCAAGGATTGGCAGCACCAATTGTGTCACGATTCTTCTCCGGTCTTGCAGTGAAAAACATTCAACAGAACGATAAAGTGATTTTAGACGAACATATATTTTCTTAGAAATTGAGTTGATATGAGGTTTGAAAGATAACTGGGAATCTAGCCAAAGGCCCAAATATTTAAATTCACCTACTTTTTCTAATGTTGTTCCATCCAGGAAATTAATATGTCAGTTTTTTGTTAAGGGCAAAGAATCTGGTCGAGTGCAGAACAACATAAAATATGATTTTTTCTTATTCAGAAGAAGCTTTCTTGACAGAGAACCATTTTTGGACTAGATTAAAATCAGATTATTGAATTTGTGAAATGTCCGAACTGGAGGAGTATATTACAGTGTCATCTGCATATAAATGAATTTGACAGTCAGAACAGACTTGTGAGAGGTCATTGATGAAGATGGAGAATAATAGAGGACCTAAAGATGAACCTTGTGGAACACCTTTATCCATAATCTTGAAGTCTGACTGGCTGCCCTGAAAAAAAACACATTGACTTCAATAATGAAGAAAAGAGTTGAAAAACAACAAAGAGTCAGTAGAGAAACCAATAGCATGTAGTTTATCTAAAAGAAGATAGTGATCAACCATGTCAAATGCTTTAGCAAGGTCAATAAATATAGCACCTGTAGACATATTGCTGTCAGATGCTGACTGTATGTCATTGGTGAATTTTAGGAGAGCAGTGGTGGTCGAGTGGTTTGGTCTAAAACCAGATTGGTGTGTTGATAATAAGTTGTGATCATTAAGATATTTAGATAATTGATTAAAGATGAGTTTTTCAAATATTTTTGCAATGCTATTAATAATTGAGATAGGTCTGTAATTATTGATGTCCTTGGGGTCACCCCCTTTATGGAGAGGGGTTACTCTGGCACATTTCCAGGATGAGGGAGTTTTACCAGTTGCAAGAGATGAATTAAATAAATCAGCCAGAGGAAATGATAAAACATGAGAGGCAAGTTTAAAGAACTTAATCTCCAGACCATCTGGACCAGCACTGCATCCAGAGCTTAGACCATCAGTGACCTGTTGGACATCAGTTGGTGTGATAGTTCTGAAGGAAAAGGAACTGCCACATCTGTTCTGAGTCGGGGTAAAGTCAGAGTGAGAATAACCAGACAGGGAGCTACCAATTGTAGAGAAGTGCTGGCTAAATGCCTCTGCAATTAATGATGGTTCACTGACAGTTTCATTGTTTATTCTGATACGAGTAGTAGGATTGTTTGTGGGTTTATTGGTTATACTATTGATTCTCTTCCAAAATTGCTTTGGGTTCTTAAAATCAGTTGACAGACAGTCTTTGTAATAATTTGCCTTAGCATTTCTAGTCTTGGTTTTACATTTATTCCTCAGCTCTTTATAAGCATTCCAGTCAGAAGAATTATTTGTTGCACGGTATTTTTTCCAAGCCTTGTCTCTTTGTTTGAATAAGTGTATAAGATCTCCTTTTATCCAAGGTAAATGTCGACCCTTGACTTTAATTGTTGTCCAGGGAGCATGTTTATTAATTATCTCAACAAGCTCAGTATAAAAGTAATTCCAGGCATCTTCAACGAATGGTATTAGTTGAAATCTTTCCCAGTTGATGTTTAAGATATCTTGAATATAAAGTTCAGAGTTAATATTATTAGTCTTCCTTACTTGGATGAATTTAGGAGGAAGATGAGGCACTTTGATTTTCCAAACACAAAAAACAATAGAATGGTCACTGAAAGAGTCAGGTAATACCCCAGATTGTATGATTCTGTCGGGATGGGAAACTAGGATCCAATCAAGTAGAGAAGACGAACTGGGGCCAACTCTGGTAGGTTCACTTATAAGTTGGGTTAAATTTATGCTGTTGAAGAGATTGCGATCATTACGGGATGAGCGATCTGCCCAATTGGAGTTGAAATCACCTAATATGATTTTTTCACTAGTGCAGTCTAAAGAATGAATGGTTGATAGGATACATTCAGTTGTTTCAGCAGGAGCATTGGGAGGTTTATAGAGATTTCCTATGATAAGTCGTTTGTTTTCATGTAAAATAATTTTAACAAAAAGGCATTCAAAACGCGAGGGATTCTCAGTTGGTAAAATCAGTTCTGCAGTCAAATTTGAGGATACATATGTCAAAAGACCCCCTCCTCTTGAGCCCCTGTCTTTTCTATAAAGGACATAGTTATCAATTGTGACTTCATCATCAGAAATATTGCTGTTTAACCAGCTTTCAGAAAGAGTAATTACATGAGGTTTATTATAGGTGAGCCAAGCTCTCTATGTTCAAGTGAATAACATGCACACCTTTAATAGAGTTCATTATTCTGAGATGATGTGAAAATAAATATGCAAGTAAGGTGGCAGCAAAAATGCACACCGATCATCATCATCACAAATAGCAATATGTAATAAGAAGCAGGAGAGCAACACACACACACACACACACACACACACACACACACACACACACACACACACACACACACACACACAGACACATACACACAAACACACACAATAATAAGAGTAAGATTAGGTACATAGCTCATGTTCATAGCTCGTTATTATTAGATTCAAAAAACAGAGGTAAGTTTATTCATACTAAATGATATAGTCAGCCTTGATGAAGTCATCTGATGACATACTAGAAAATAATAAAATAATAGAAACCTCAGATGCTTCAGAATTAATTTACTTCATCATTCAGAGTTTTCACTGATTGTAATAAATTATCGTAACGGTCTATCCCTTCCCATCAACTTAAAATAGCCGAACTCTTTTAGTGTTACACAGTTTTACGGCATTTGCGACACATTTTACGGTAGTGTGTGTGTGTGTGTGTGTGTGTGTGTGTCTCAGTGTGTGTGTGTGTGTGTGTGTGTGTGTGTGTGTGTCTCAGTGTGTGTGTGTGTCTGTGTGTGTGTGTGTGTGTGTGTGTGTGTGTGTCTCAGTGTGTGTGTGTGTGTGTGTGTGTGTGTGTGTCTCAGTGTGTGTGTCTGTGTGTGTGTGTGTGTGTGTGTGTGTCTCAGTGTGTGTGTGTGTGTGTGTGTGTGTGTGTCTCAGTGTGTGTGTCTGTGTGTGTGTGTGTGTGTGTGTGTGTGTGTGTCTCAGTGTGTGTGTGTGTCTGTGTGTGTGTGTGTGTGTGTGTGTGTCTCTGTGTGTGTCTCTGTGTGTGTGTGTGTGTGTGTGTGTCTGTGTGTGTGTGTGTGTGTCTCTGTGTGTGTCTCTGTGTGTGTGTGTGTGTGTGTGTGTGTGTGTGTGTGTCACCCTCTGACATCACTCAGCGAGAGATTCACCTGAGGAGTCGTCATGACAACAGTCAGGTCGTTTCTGAACAACCAATAACTAATCAACAGCCATGATCACTTCCTGTCACCTGTTGAACTCGTAGATGTCCTCGATGTTCCCGAAGAGAGCGCACACCTGCTCAGGACGAATCGACAGGTCGCACTGATCGATGATGTGAGCCAGGTAATCCTGTAGGGGGAAGGAGACAAGGGAACGACACAAGAAGAGGAATCAAGGGGGGAGGAAGGAGAAAAGGTTACAACAAGGGAGAAGGAAACAAGAGAGATGGAAGGAGACAAATCAAGAGGAGGAAGGAAACAAGGGAAGAAAACAAGGGAGAAGGAAACAAGAGAGATGGAAGGAGACAAATCAAGAGGAGGAAGGAATCAAGGGAACAAAAGGAAACAAGGGGGGAGGAAAGAGACAATGGAACACAACAAGAGAAGGAAGTAGACCAGGGATGAAGGAGACAAGGAAACAGAACAAGAGGAGGGGAAAGAGGGAGAGAAGACATTTTCAGTTAGAGCCGAGGAAGAATTGAGGTTCAGTGATTAGAGCGTGCGCCCAAAGTACAGAGGCTGTAGACGTGGTCACAGAGGCCCCGCCCCCTCTCTCTCCTCACAACACTTCCTGTCTTCAGCTGTCTTTTCCAAAACAGGCAACAAAGCTAAATAATTTTAAAAACAATCCAAAGGTTAAAATAATAAGTTCAACACGTCTCAGAAACATATTTCAAAATAAAGTTCAGAAAGGTAAATGTCTCTGTCTTTCCAGCAGGGGGCGACATGACATCACTTAGATTAGATTGAATAAGTTATAAAGGATCTTTGAGGAGAGTCTGTACGGTGGCCTGCAGGGTCAGATCCTCTCGTTACATAATCAGTTAATCGGCTCGCTGCAGAACGTCTTAGAAGGTTAATTATAGTCAGTGATGTCATCACATTAGAGCGTGCTCACTGGACGTCTGTACTCATTTATCTCCTACATGAATTAAAAAACATGAAGAAGAAAACATCACTCAGACTGTAAAAGGTTTAATATTAACCTGCTTGTTACCACGGCAACACAAAGATGTTGTGTAATATGATCATCACCTCTACGATCATGCGCAGGTCTCTGACGTACATCCTCTCCGTCTCGATGATCTCCATGACGACGCGGTCCAGGTAGGTCAGCTGAGGAGCCATGACGAACGGCTCTTTGTCGTTGGCGATGCAGTGGCTACGCCCCTTCCTGTCTGGCCCCCCCTCAGAGCTCAGGTCCAGGTTGAGTGCCGGGGTTTGGTCAGACGGAGGGGGGGCGGGGTTCTCGTCCCGGGAGGATCCGGATCCCGAGGACAGCGTGGAGATCAGGCTGAGTGGGCGGGGCTCTGAGGAGTCGGAGGGCGTGGCCGACGGAGCGCGCTCATTACTGCAGACGGAGAGGCGGGGCGACTCTGTGAGAGGGGGAGGATCAGTTATTAGTGATCAGGTGAAGCTCTTATTTTGATAGGGACCCAGGATCTCATTATGGCCTTTTCACAATTAAAGTCCTTTTACTACAAGACGGAGAAATTACTTTGATGAGAAGAGTTTCACAATAAGAGTCGTAAAATCATCAAGTTATAACCCTAACCTCTCACTGGAGGCAGACTTTCACAGTAAAAGCCCTGGTATGATAACTGATCCAAATGTGTGGCCCGACTGAGGGCATCCTTTCACAATAAAAGCCCTGGTATGATAACTGATCCAAATGTGTGGCCCGACTGAGGGCATCCTTTCACAATAAAAGCCCTGGTATGATAACTGATCCAAATGTGTGGCCCGACTGAGGGCATCCTTTCACAATAAAAGCCCTGGTATGATAACTGATCCAAATGTGTGGCCCGACTGAGGGCATCCTTTCACAATAAAAGCCCTGGTATGATAACTGATCCAAATGTGTGGCCCGACTGAGGGCATCCTTTCACAATAAAAGCCCTGGTATGATAACTGACCCAAATGTGTGGCCCGACTGAGGGCATCCTTTCACAATAAAAGCCCTGGTATGATAACTGATCCAAATGTGTGGCCCGACTGAGGGCATCCTTTCACAATAAAAGCCCTGGTATGATAACTGACCCAAATGTGTGGTCCGACTGAGGGCATCCTTTCAAAATAAAAGCCCTGGTATGATAACTGACCCAAATGTGTGGCCCTGAGGGCATCCTTTCACAATAAAAGCACCAGACAGTATATGAAGATGGTGGATGTTTGTTTCTGTTTTCTGCTCCTGGAACAGTTTTTTTAAATGTTCAGGATGTGATGTCACAACCAACTCATGATGACATCATCACTGAGCTGAAGATAAATGTGTAATGATTCCTCCTCACCTGTCGGTCAGGTTAGCGCCCCTCTGAGAACGAGTTGGAGAAACATTCAAAGAATGTGAAGAATCCTTCAGAGCAGTTTGTGAAGGAGAAACAGGAAATGTAAAGATCGTAAACAAGACGTGAACAAGACGTGAACAAGACGTGAACAGGACGTCAACAAGACGTCAACAAGACGTCAACAAGACATGAACAAGACGTGAGACGTCAACAAGACGTCAACAAGACGTGAGACGTCAATAAGACGTCAACAAGACATGAACAAGACGTGAGACGTCAACAAGACGTGAAGAAGACATGAACAAGACGTGAACAAGACGTGAACAAGACGTGAACAAGACATGAACAAGACGTCAACAAGACGTGAACAAGACGTCAACAAGACGTGAACAAGACATGAACAAGACGTCAACAAGACGTGAACAAGACATGAACAAGACGTCAACAAGACGTGAACAAGACATGAACAAGACGTCAACAAGACGTGAACAAGACGTCAACAAGACGTGAAGAAGACATGAACAAGACATGAACAAGACGTCAACAAGACGTGAACAAGACGTGAACAAGACATGAACAAGACGTCAACAAGACGTGAACAAGACGTCAACAAGACGTCAACAAGACATGAACAAGACATGAACAAGACGTCAACAAGACGTGAACAAGACATGAACAAGACGTCAACAAGACATGAACAAGACATGAACAAGACGTCAACAAGACGTGAACAAGACATGAACAAGACGTCAACAAGACGTGAACAAGACATGAACAAGACGTCAACAAGACGTCAACAAGACGTCAACAAGACATGAACAAGACGTCAACAAGACGTCAACAAGACGTCAACAAGACATGAACAAGACATGAACAAGACGTCAACAAGACGTCAACAAGACATGAACAAGACGTCAACAAGACGTCAACAAGACGTCAACAAGACATGAACAAGACGTCAACAAGACGTCAACAAGACGTCAACAAGACGTGAGACGTCAACAAGACGTCAACAAGACATGAACAAGACGTCAACAAGACGTGAACAAGACATGAACAAGACGTGAACAAGACGTGAGACGTCAACAAGACGTCAACAAGACGTGAACAAGACATGAACAAGACGTGAACAAGACGTGAGACGTCAACAAGACGTCAACAAGACGTGAACAAGACGTGAACAAGACGTGAACAAGACGTGAACAAGACATGAACAAGACGTCAACAAGACGTGAAGAAGACATGAACAAGACGTGAACAAGACGTGAACAAGACGTGAACAAGACATGAACAAGACGTCAACAAGACGTCAACAAGACGTGAACAAGACGTCAACAAGACGTCAACAAGACGTCAACAAGACGTCAACAAGACGTGAGACGTCAACAAGACGTCAACAAGACATGAACAAGACGTCAACAAGACGTGACAAGACATGAACAAGACGTGAACAAGACGTGAGACGTCAACAAGACGTCAACAAGACGTGAACAAGACATGAACAAGACGTGAACAAGACGTGAGACGTCAACAAGACGTGAACAAGACGTGAACAAGACGTGAACAAGACATGAACAAGACGTCAACAAGACGTGAAGAAGACATGAACAAGACGTGAACAAGACGTGAACAAGACGTGAACAAGACATGAACAAGACGTCAACAAGACGTGAAGAAGACATGAACAAGACGTCAACAAGACGTCAACAAGACATGAACAAGACGTCAACAAGACGTCAACAAGACGTGAACAAGACGTCAACAAGACATGAACAAGACGTCAACAAGACGTCAACAAGACATGAACAAGACGTCAACAAGACGTCAACAAGACGTGAACAAGACGTGAACAAGACGTCAACAAGTGTGAGCTGTTCAATGTGACCTGCTGCAAAATGACAGGTAGCCTAGCTTACCGTGCTAACAGGACCTGCTGCGTAACGACAGGTAGCCTAGCTTACCGCGCTAACAGGACCTGCTGCGTAACGTCAGGTAGCCTAGCTTACCGCGCTAACAGGACCTGCTGTGTAATGACAGGTAGCCTAGCTTAGCATGCTAACAGGACCTGCTGTGTAATGACAGGTAGCCTAGCTTACCGTGCTAACAGGACCTGCTGCGTAACGACAGGTAGCCTAGCTTACCGCGCTAACAGGACCTGCTGCGTAACGTCAGGTAGCCTAGCTTACCGCGCTAACAGGACCTGCTGTGTAATGACAGGTAGCCTAGCTTAGCATGCTAACAGGACCTGCTGTGTAATGACAGTAGCTAGCTTACCGTGCTAACAGGACCTGCTGCGTAACGACAGGTAGCCTAGCTTACCGCGCTAACAGGACCTGCTGCGTAACGTCAGGTAGCCTAGCTTACCGCGCTAACAGGACCTGCTGTGTAATGACAGGTAGCCTAGCTTAGCATGCTAACAGGACCTGCTGTGTAATGACAGGTAGCCTAGCTTAGCATGCTAACAGGACCTGCTGTGTAATGACAGGTAGCCTAGCTTAGCATGCTAACAGGACCTGCTGTGTAATGACAGGTAGCCTAGCCTACCGTGCTAACAGGACCTGCTGTGTAATGACAGGTAGCCTAGCTTAGCATGCTAACAGGACCTGCTGTGTAATGACAGGTAGCCTAGCTTAGCATGCTAACAGGACCTGCTGTGTAATGACAGGTAGGCGAGCTGTCATACTGAACAGGAAGTCATCGTTTTCCAAAGAGCTCCAGGAGAGCTACATCTTCCTGTGAAAAGGACCAGCCAATGAATATGCTGCGTTTTTTAAAACACTGCTAGTGTCCATTTTCAGTGGCCCACGATGGAAATGTGTGTGTACAAAGAAAATAAACGAACACAAACGAGAAGTAGAACTGACTGTTGACGACCAACTTAGAGGAGGAAACTCTTAAAGGTGCGGGGTTGTGAAGTGTCCCAATTTGGAGGTTTGAAAATATGGTCATTAAAAAAAAGTCATCAGACCCCCATCAGACCTCCATCAGACCCCATCAGACCTCCATCAGACCCCCATCAGACCTCCATCAGACCTCCATCAGACCCATCAGACCCATCAGACCCCCATCAGACCTCCATCAGACCCATCAGACCCCCATCAGACCTCCATCAGACTCATCAGACCCATCAACCCCCATCAGACTCCATCAGACCCCATCAGACCCCCATCAGACCCATCAGACCCCCATCAGACCTCATCAGACCCATCAGACCCCATAGACCCCCATCAGACCTCCATCAGACCCCATCAGACCCCCATCAGACCTCCATCAGACCCATCAGACCTCCATAGACCCCATTAGACCCCCATCAGACTCCATCAGACCCCATCAGACCCCCATCATCTCCACCTCAGCACATCTGATCAGCCAATCACGTCAGAGCAGCAGGTTCCCACCACCCATCAGATTATCACACCGGACAGATGATTCACATTTTGATTGGTTCTGATGTGATTCCTGAAGCATGCTGGGATTTATTCTGTCATTGACTTGTATTTGTGGTAAAGTTAGTGAACGTAGCGTTAACCACTGACAGACTGTTAACCTCTGGACAGACTGTTAACCTCTGGACAGACTGTTAACCTCTGGACAACTGTTAACCTCTGACAGACTGTTAACCTCTGACAGGCTGTTAACCTCTGGACAGGCTGTTAACCTCTGGACAGACTGTTTAACCACTGACAGACTGTTAACTCTGGACAGACGTTAACCTCTGACAGACTGTTAACCACTGGACAGACTGTTAACCTCTGGACAGGCTGTTAACCATGGACAGACTGTTAACCTCTGGACAGACTGTAACCACTGGACAGACTGTTAACCACTGGACAGACTGTTAACCTCTGGACAGGCTGTTAACCACTGGACAGACTGTTAACCTCTGGACAGGCTGTTAACCACTGACAGACTGTTAACCTCTGACAGGCTGTAACTCTGGACAGGCTGTTAACCTCTGGACAGACTGTTAACCTCTGGACAGACTGTTAACCTCTGGACAGGCTGTTAACCACTGGACAGACTGTTAACCTCTGGACAGACTGTTAACCTCTGGACAGACTGTTAACCACTGGACAGACTGTTAACCTCTGGACAGGCTGTTAACCACTGGACAGACTGTTAACCTCTGGACAGACTGTTAACCACTGGACAGACTGTTAACCTCTGGACAGGCTGTTAACCACTGGACAGGCTGTTAACCACTGGACAGGCTGTTAACCACTGGACAGACTGTTAACCTCTGGACAGGCTGTTAACCTCTGGACAGGCTGTTAACCTCTGGACAGACTGTTAACCACTGGACAGGCTGTTAACCACTGGACAGACTGTTAACACTGGACAGGCTGTTAACCTGGACAGTGTTAACCACTGGACAGGCTGTTAACCTCTGGACAGACTGTTAACCTCTGGACAGACTGTTAACCTCTGGACAGGCTGTTAACCACTGGACAGACTGTTAACCTCTGGACAGACTGTTAACCTCTGGACAGGCTGTTAACCACTGGACAGACTGTTAACCTCTGGACAGGCTGTTAACCTCTGGACAGACTGTTAACCACTGGACAGACTGTTAACCACTGGACAGGCTGTTAACCACTGGACAGACTGTTAACCTCTGGACAGGCTGTTAACCTCTGGACAGACTGTTAACCACTGGACAGACTGTTAACCTCTGGACAGGCTGTTAACCTCTGGACAGACTGTTAACCACTGGACAGACTGTTAACCTCTGGACAGGCTGTTAACCTCTGGACAGACTGTTAACCACTGGACAGACTGTTAACCTCTGGACAGACTGTTAACCTCTGGACAGACTGTTAACCTCTGGACAGGCTGTTAACCTCTGGACAGGCTGTTAACCTCTGGACAGACTGTTAACCTCTGGACAGACTGTTAACCTCTGGACAGGCTGTTAACCACTGGACAGACTGTTAACCTCTGGACAGACTGTTAACCACTGGACAGACTGTTAACCACTGGACAGGCTGTTAACCACTGGACAGACTGTTAACCACTGGACAGACTGTTAACCTCTGGACAGACTGTTAACCACTGGACAGGCTGTTAACCACTGGACAGACTGTTAACCTCTGGACAGACTGTTAACCTCTGGACAGGCTGTTAACCACTGGACAGACTGTTAACCTCTGGACAGACTGTTAACCACTGGACAGACTGTTAACCACTGGACAGGCTGTTAACCACTGGACAGACTGTTAACCACTGGACAGGCTGTTAACCTCTGGACAGACTGTTAACCTCTGGACAGACTGTTAACCTCTGGACAGGCTGTTAACCACTGGACAGACTGTTAACCTCTGGACAGACTGTTAACCACTGGACAGACTGTTAACCTCTGGACAGACTGTTAACCACTGGACAGACTGTTAACCTCTGGACAGGCTGTTAACCTCTGGACAGGCTGTTAACCACTGGACAGACTGTTAACCTCTGGACAGACTGTTAACCTCTGGACAGACTGTTAACCACTGGACAGGCTGTTAACCTCTGGACAGGCTGTTAACCACTGGACAGACTGTTAACCTCTGGACAGACTGTTAACCTCTGGACAGGCTGTTAACCTCTGGACAGACTGTTAACCACTGGACAGGCTGTTAACCTCTGGACAGGCTGTTAACCTCTGGACAGGCTGTTAACCACTGGACAGGCTGTTAACCTCTGGACAGGCTGTTAACCTCTGGACAGGCTGTTAACCACTGGACAGACTGTTAACACACTGACAGACTGTTAACCACTGGACAGGCTGTTAACCTCTGGACAGACTGTTAACCTCTGGACAGGCTGTTACCTCTAGACAGACTGCTAACCTCTGGACAGACTGTTAACCTCTGGACAGACTGTTAACCTCTGGACAGACTGTTAACCTCTGGACAGACTGTTAACCTCTGGACAGACTGTTAACCACTGGACAGCTGTTAACCACTGGACAGACTGTTAACCACTGGACAGACTGTTAACCTCTGGACAGACTGTTTAGTTAAGTATCTGAGCAGCAGAGACACAGAGAGTCAACCTGAGACACAAACATGAGACCATCATAGACAGAGAAAGACAACAGACAGACAGACAGACAGACAGACAGACAGACAGACACCACACACACACACACACACACACACACACACACACACACACAACACCACACACACACACACACACACACACACACACACACACCACACACAACACACACAGGGTCGTTAGCTGTTTGGCTTCCTGCCAGTTTGAAAGTCAGCGAGGCGTTCACTGACCCAGCAGGAAGGGAATTATGGCTTCCAGCCACTAAACATGATAAGAAGAGAGAGAGAAGAGTCAGCCATCACAGCTCAGAGTTTGTATTCAAACACAAACACACAGACACGTGAAGTTTGACCCCTGCAGCCGTTAACACACACACACACACACACACACACACACACACACACACACACAACACACACACACACACACACACACAGCATGACATCACAATGTTTGAATCAGTTAAAAACAAACGTTTGAAACTCTCACTTTCTCACTGTGTGTGTTGAGTTCATGAAAACGTCGTAAAACTGGCTTTTACACGTTTATCTCCGTCTGACTCAAAACTTCAGTCAAACTTTAAAGTCCAACTCCAAGAGAGAAATGTGACTCACCAAACCAGCGACGGGTCAACACTCGTCTGAGCAGCCGCTCCTCCCCGACACTCCTGATGGAGATCCTGACCTCCTCCTCTGAACATGAACACCTCACCACAGCACCTCCTCCTCCTCCTCCCAGGCTGCGCCACACGCTCCTCTGATACCCCATCAGATCAAATCCTCCTGAACTCACACATTCACTTCTCCTACAGCTTCACAGACACCTGAACGCTCCACAGGTCTGCACACAATGAGGATCCACATGTTCAAACTACAGAGGGGGGAGGGGGAGGAGGAAGAGGAGGAAACAACAAAAGACATGAAGAGAAGGACAGGGAACAGGAAGTGACTTAAGGAGGAGCTTTAGACAGAAGAAGAATAGACTAAAGAGGAGAGGAGAAGAAGGAGGAGGAGGAAATCCTACTTCATCCTCCACATCTGCATAAAAACATCTGATACTACATTACCCATGAGCCTCAGCTGCTGACATCACAAAGAGGTGTAATGTTTCCATGGCAACTGAACCTTTTTAAAAATGTTAAAGAGTCAAAAACTTCAATGAACTTTAGACGCAGGAAATCAGTTTTCTCAGCGTCAGTATGAAGCTCTGTGATTGGCTGCTTCGAGGTGAAATGCACCCTGGGAGTTGGAGGTTACATGAGTCAGTGAACAGCTTTCTGCTCGACAAACTGAGAGATTTTACAGATTGAACAACACGCATCAACCCCGAGTCATCATGTTTGTAGAGAGGACCTGACTGTTAACTTTGCAGCCGGTTGCTTTATTTTTTTTTACAGTGTATTTTTTTTTTTAACAGTATTTTTTTTACAGTGTATTATTATTTTTTTTAAAGTTTTTTTACAGTGTATTATTTTTTTTTTTACAGTATTTGTTTACAGTGTATTATTTTATTTACAGTATTTTTTACAGTGTATTATTTTTTTAAGTTTTTTTTTACAGTGTATAATTTCTTTTACAGTATTTTTTTTACCGTGTATTAATTTTTACAGTGTATAATTTTTTTTACAGTACTTTTATTTACAGTGTATTATTTTTTACAGTGTTTTTTTTTACAGTGTATTATTTTTTACAGTGTATTATTTTTTAAAGTATTTTTTACAGTGTATAATTTTTTTTACAGTACTTTTATTTACAGTGTAT